CCCTGGATCAGGCGTCCCCAAACTTTTTACACAGGGGGCCAGTTCACTGTCCCTCAGACTGTTGGAGGGCCGCCACATACTGTGCTCCTCTCACTGACCACCAATGAAAGTGGTGCCCCTTCCTGAAGTGCGGCAGGGGTCAGATAAATGGCCTCAGGGGGCCGCATGCGGCCCGCAGGCCCTAGTTTAGGGATGCCTGCCCTGGATGAAGAGAGATGTTCTGGTTTTGGGTGTTTTCATCCTTTTTTTGCTGGTTTCTTCCCACCTTTATGTATTTATCTACCTGTGGTCTATGTAGTTGGTGATTTTCAGATGGGGTCTCTGTGTGGACATCCTTTTTGCTGACGATAAAGTTATTTCTTTCTGTTTTTTAGTTTTCCTTTTAACAGTCAGGTTTCTCTGCTGTAGGATTGCTGAAGGTTTCCTCCAGAACCTGCTTACCTGGGAATCACTTGCAGCAGGTGCAGAACAGTAAGGGTTGCTGCCAGTTTCTTCTTCTGTTATCTTAGTCCCAGAAAGATACCTGCCAGATGTCAGCCTGAGCTCTCCTTTATGAGATGTCTCTTTGGATATATGGGGGTCAGGAAGCTGCTTGAGGAGACAGTCTGACCCTTATAGGAGCTCAAGTGTTGAGCTGTGATCTCCGTTGTTCCATTCAGAGCTGCTGGGAAGATACCTTTAAGTCTGCTGCAGTGGCACTCATAACCACCTTTTTTCCCAGGTACTCTGTCCTGTGAATTTGGGGCTTTATTTATAAGTTCCTGACGTACTGCTGCCATTTTTCAGAGATGCCCTGCCCAGCTAGGAGGTAGCCTAGTCACAGTCTGCCAGCAGATGCATTGCTGAGCTGCCATGGGCTCTGCCCAGCTGCTGTGTAAATTTCTTTGCCATTTTGTTTATAGGGGTATAGTTAGAACTGCCTCAGTAATGGTGGTCTGCCTCAGTAATGGCGGAATGCCTCGGTAATGGCGGACTGCTTCAGTAATGGTGGACTGCCTCTGTGGTGGTGGACTCTCTCAGTAATGGTGGACACCCTTACCCCCACAGAGCTGGATTGTCCTGGGTCTAGCTGTGCTTGCTGTGAAACTCTTGATCCAGAATGTTTCAGATTGCTGGTTGTTGTCGGAGTGGGAACCACTGAGCCAGATCACCTTTCTCCCTGTTTCAGCCCCCTTATTTTCAGTTGAATGGGTGGCTCTGTCTCCCAGGTATCCAGGTGCCATTTGAAATGGCCACCCAGATTTGTGTGAGTTTTTGTGCGGAGACCCACTGCGCCAGCTGAAACAGCCGTGCTGGAAACTTACGGTGCTTTTCAGCCCAGCCTCCTGGTCTATGGGCAGTAATAACTTGTTTGGAAATGTGGTGATCACTTACCCTCTGTGATGTTCTTCCTGGGAACTGCACTCCAGGGCTGTTCCTATTCAGCCATCTTGTATCTGCCCTGAAGAGTGGTTTTCAAATGACAGTGGGTATTTGAATCAATGTCAGTGTTACAACACACATTGCTAGGTTTTATTTCCAAGTATTATAATCCAGAAAATCTGGGAATCTGTCTTTTTAAATACACCCCACGTGATTTTGATGCAGGAGGTCTGTGGATGACCCTTTAAAGAAACATGGCTTTTTAGTCCATGTAAATGGGTATGTGAAAATATTGACTTACAGCAATATCAGTATATATTTTTAAACAATTCTGTTGTACTGAATCTCCTGTTAGTTGAAAGTATATTTGTGAAAAGAACTTTGTAAACTTTAAAGCACCATATTTAAGCTTCATCATTCTTTTTTACTTTTTTTAACTTTTATTTTAGGTTCAGGATTATATGTGCAAATTTGTTATACAGGTAAACTCGTGTAACAGGGTTTTGTTGTACAGATTATTTCATCACCCAGATACTCAGCCTAGTATCTAATAGTTATTTTTTCTGATCCTCTCCCTCCTCCCACCATCCACCCTCAACAGACCCCAGTGTGTGTTGTTCCCCTCTTTGTGTCCATATGTTCTCATCATTTACTTCCCACTTTAAGTAGGAACATGTGATATTTGATTTTCTGTTCCTGTGTTGGTTTGCTAAGGATGATGGCTTCCATCTCTGTCCATGTTCCTGTAAAGGATATGATTTCATTCTTTTCTATGGCTGCATAGTACTCCATGGTGTATATGTACCACATTTTCTTCATCCAGTCTACTATTAATAGACACTTAGGTTGATTTCATGTCACTGCTATTGTGAATAGGCTGCAATGAACATATACTTGTGTGTGTCTTTATGGTAGAATAACTTATATTCTTTTGGGTGTATACCCAGTAATGGGATTATTGAGTTGAATGATAGTTCAGTTTTTAGCTCTTTAAGGAATCACCACACCAATTTCCACAGTGGTTGAACCAGTTTACATCCCCAACAACAATGTATAAGCATTCCCTTTTCTGCAATTTTGCCAGCATCTGTTATTTTTTGACTTTAATGTTAGTCATTCAGACTGGTGTGAGATGGTATCTTACTGCGGTTTTGATTTGCATTTCTCTAATCATCAGTGATACTGCATTTTTTTCATGTGCCTGTTGACTGCATGTATGTCTTCTCTTAAAAGGTGTTTGTTCATGTTCTTTGCTCACTTTTTAATAGTAATTTGGTTTTCTCTTGTAAATTTATTTAAATTCCTTATAGATGCTGGATGATAGACCTTTGTCAGATGTATAGTTTGCAGATATTTCCTCCCATTCTGTAGATTGCCTATTTGCTCTGTTCATAGTTTCTTTTGCTGTGCAGGAGCTCTTAAATTTAACTAGATCTCATTTGCCAATTTTTGCTGTTGCAATTGCTTTTGCTGTTTTCATAATGAAATCATTGCCAGTTCCTATATGCAGAATGGTATGGCCTTGGTTGTCTTCCAGGATTTTTATAGTTTTGGGTTTTTGCATAGAAGCCTTTAATCCATCATGAGTTGATTTTTGATAATGATGTAAGGAAGCATTCCAGTTTCAATCCTCTGCATATGATTAGCCATTTATTCCAGCACCATTTATTGAATAGGGAGTCGAGTCCTTTTTCCATTGTTTTTTTTTTTTTTTTTTTTTTTTTGCTCAGCTTTGTCGAAGATCAGATGGTTGTAGCTGTGTGGATTTATTTTTGGTCTCTCTATTCTGTTCCATTAGTCTGTGTGTCTTTTTTTTTTTTTTTTTTTTTTAACCAATGCTGTTTTAGTTACTGTAGCCCTGTAGTATGGTTTGAAGTTGGGTAGCATGACACCTTTACCTTTGTTCTTTTTACTTAGAATTGCCTTGGCTATTCAGGCTCTTTCTTGGTTCCATATGAATTTTAAAATAGTTTTTTCTAGTTCTGTGAAGAATATCAATGGTAGTTTGATAGGAATAGCATTGGATGTATACATTGCTTTGGGCACTATGGTTATTTTAATGATACTGATTCTTCCTATATATAACTATAGACTATTTTCATTTGTTTGAGTTTTCTCTATTTCTTTGAGCAGTGTTTTATAATTCTTATTAGAGAGATCTGTTACCTCCCTGGCTAGCTGTATTTCTAGGTATTTTATTCTTTTTGTGGCCATTGTGAAGGGGATTGTGTTCTTTATTTGGGGTTCAAGTTGGTTATTATTGATGTGTAGGAATGGCAGTCATTTTTGTACATTGGTTTTGTGTCTTGCAACTTTGCTGAAGTTGTCAGGTTAAGGAGCCTTTGGACTGAGACTATGGGATTTTCTAGACATATAATTATTTGGTCAGCCAGCAGGGATTGTTTGACTTCCTCTTTTTCTGTTTGGATGCTTCTTTCTTTGTTTCTTTCCTTTCTTTCTTTATTTCTTTCCTCCCTTCCTTCTTCCCTTCTTTTCTTCCTTCCTCCCTCCCTCCTTTCTTTTTTCCCTCTCTCTCTCTCCCTCCCTTCCTTCCTTCCTTCCTTCCTTTCCTTCCCTCCCTCCCTTCCTCCCTCTCTCTCTCTTTCTTTCTTTCTGCCTTCCTTCCTTCCTTCTTTCCTTTCTTCCTTCCTTTCTTTCTTTCTTTCCTTCCTTCTTTCTTTCCTCTTCCTCTTTCTCTTTCCTTCTCCTGATTGCTCTGGCCAAGACTTCCAGTACTATGTTAAATAGAAATAATGAGAAAGGGCACGCTTATCTTGTACCAGTTTTCAAGGGAAATTCTTCCTGCTTTTCCCCATTCAGTATAATAGTCATTGTGGCTTTGTCATAGATCACTCTTACTATTTTGAAGTATGTTTCTTCAATCCCTAGTTTGTGAAGAGCTCTTAACATGAAGGAGTGTTAAATTTTATTGAAAGCCTTTTCTGCCTCTATTGAGATAATCATGTGATATTTGTCTTTTGTTCTGTTTATGCAATGAATTACATTTATTAATTTGCGTTTGTTGAACCAACTTTGCATGCCAGGGATGAAGTCTACTTGATTGTGTTGGATAAACTTTTTGAGGTGCTGCTGGATTTGGTTTGCAAGTATTTTGTTGAGGATTTTTCTATCAGTATTTATCAAGAATATTAGCCTGAAGTTTTCTTTTTTTGCTGTGTCTCTACCAGCTTTTGGTATCAGGATGATGCTGACCTCACAGAATGAGTTAGAGAGGAGTCACTCCTCCTCAGTTTTTCTGGAATAGTTTCAGTAGGAATGGTACCAGCTCTTTTTTGTACATCTGGTAGAATTCATCTGGGAATCATGTGGTCCTGGGATTTTTTGGATGATAGGCTACTTATTACTGATTCAATTTTAGAGCTCATTATTGGTCTGCCCAGGGATTCATTTTCTTCCACCTTCAGCCTGGCAGGGTGTATGTGTCCAGGAGTTCATCCATTTTTTCTAGGTTTTCTAGTTCATGTGTGTAGAGATGTTCATAGTAGTCTCTGAGAGTTATTTGTATTTCTGTGGGCTCAGTGGCAAACCCCCTTTGTCATTTCTGATTGTATATATTTGGATCTTCTCTCTTTTCTTTATAATTAGTCATTATTATTGATTGTAATTGTGTCATATAGGCAGCTGGCTGTGATCACGTGTTAAACTCCAGTGCCAAGATAGACAAATGTGGAGTGTGTGGTGGGGATAACTCTTCATGCAAGACAATAACAGGTGTCTTCAACAGTTCTCACTATGGTAAGTTGTGTATTTGTTTCTAGTTTTCCCTTTTAGTTAGTACAATAATGGAGTCTGTAAAGAAGATGTAATAGTAATTCTCTGTTACTGTTTTGTCTACTCTACACCCTTAGCCCAAAATAATTGTTAAGGAAAAATTTCCTAATATAAAACAGTTAAATACTGTATTAGACCAGATGGATCCTTGATTAATGAATTCACCTGCCTCAGGCAAATCTGATTCTTAAAAATGTATTAGATGCATTTACTAGAGTAAATTCAATGCTATTTGACGGTGATGTGTGATATGTCCATAATCCTCCCATTAATTAAGTACTTTTTTTCTCTATAACCTAAAATGTATATATTAGTGAATTTTTTCTAGAAAACTTGCTTTTAAATATTTTTGTACTAGAATCACTTTCTTTTTTGTTATGACTTGGCCTGTTACATTTCTTATTAAAGGTAGGTAGAAAATGTTGATTGGAAGTGAGGGATAAAACCATTAACTTAAATGTTTTCTGAATTAAATGTTTCAGAATTATTATCACATTTGATTTTCCAGGCAGTATCTGGATCACATATGTAACTGATATTTGGCCATGATTTAATTTTTCTTCAAAATATCATGAAAATATAGAAGATATTTTCCATTGTAAAGTTTTCTGGGCAAACATTTTTTGTTTTTATGATAATAAAAGCAGATCTTTAAAACTATCTTTGCAAATTAAAATTTATTTCTTACAACTTTATTTATTTATTTATTTAGAGGCAGGGTCTTACTCTGTTGTCCAAGCTGCAGTACAGTGGCATAATCATAGCTGACTGCAGCTCTGAACTCCTGGGTTCCAGCAATCTTTCCAGCTCCTTATCCCAAGTATCTAGAACTACAGGTGCTCACCACCATGCCCAGCTAATTGTGTGTGTGTGTGTGTGTGTGTGTGTGTGTGTGTGTGTGTGTGTAGAGATGGGGTCTCACTGTGTTGCCAGGTTGATCTCAAACTCCTAGCCTTAAGGAATTCTCCTATCTTGACATCCCAAAGTGCTGAAATTATAGGCATGAACCCCTACACCTAACCTAATTTTTGTAGTCTCATTGTTAAACTTTAAATTGTGTTCATATATGTTCAAATTGTTAATTCCATTAGAGCAGTATAATTTAAAACTCAAAATTTGTATTTTTATGTATGTGAAAATTATAGTACATTTTATACTTTGATACTTATAAATCTCAGTTACTAGATGATTTGATATCTGATTCTTCTAGTTATTACCCGAGAGCTACATACCTTTGATTCCCTTCTATAATACGTGGCATATACTTATTACAGTCTGTATTTACTGAAAAATAGTTTTTCTAGGATAAAGCTACATGAAGCAAATTAGGATCAAATATGTAATCTTGTGTAAATTGTACTGTGCATTAATCAGTTTGCAAATAGAAAAATGTGTTAAACTCATTTGCAAGGTCTAATTAGCATTTGTCACATTTCTGCCCCCTGGTGGTAGCCTTCATCTTATCAACTTTGCAATGCCTTGGGCTTGCTTTCTTGAAAAAAAAATAAAATAAAATGAATAGTAAAGGCATAAATAGTAAAAGTAATGGGTGAGAATACTTTATAGTGAAAAGGAGATGAATTAAAATTATTCTTGTATATCAATAACCTACAACCAGTATGCATATAGATACTGAATCATCAAACTATCATCTTATATTAAAAATGCTATACCTTAGATATAAATAAGGCTGCTCTAAAGCACATGCAAGATAGTCTGACATTAGAGTTGTAAATTTAAGCTGTTTTTAAAATGTTTTCTTAAGTTAATACTATATTTATCAAAAGTAGTGTATAAGAAAATTACTTTTACTCATGATGTAGTAAGTAGGGAGAAATCCTAATAAGGGAAAGAAATAACTTAGAATACTAACCCTAAAGTATAATTAATTGTATACTTAAAAACTTGAGTATTTGGACAACTATGCAATGTGTGTTTAGTGTTGGGAAAACATTTTTTCTTAATGTCTGTTAGATAAAATGTTTCCTCTTTTGAGCAGGGCCAATGTCGCTGAATTTGGCCTCATAAAATGGAAATATTACTTTCATTTCACTTGAGTAAACTTTTTACTTTTCTCATAACAAGTTTATTAGTATTCTTGTAAAAATAATTAAAATTTGGGGAATAGATAGATTCTTGCTTATACTACAAATTAAAAGCCGAAGAAAAACTTGAGCTTTCAACTTTTTATTTTTTAAGATTTTTCAATAATGAAATTGAAAAATTTTATTATTTTACTATTTACTGCATCTGTGTGAACATATTATAGCAACATCCAACTATTTTAATACCTCCTGGATTTGTGAATCGTGTTAAAAATCTCTTTTTTTTCTCCAGCAGGAAGTATAAAATATAAAAGTATTAACCAAGTTTAAAAATGAGTATATGTACCAAGTATCTCAGGAGCCAAAATACTAGCTTCATTTCATTCTATATTAAGAATATAGAAGTAGAATTAGCAAAACATTAGGGAAAGTTAAGAATATTAAACTCTGTTTCTAGAAAACAACCACTCTTTCTGAATCCTCAGTAATTTAGGGAAGGTACTGACTCAAAAGGAATAACCACTGTGTAATTTTTGTAAAGATACAACAAAATTAAGTCTGACTATGTTATTCATATTTTTCATTCATTTAGCAGTAATAACCTATGGGCCATCTGCTTTTTATGAAATTTAACATATGTAAAATTATATTACAGGTTATAACGTTGTTGTAAAGATTCCCGCAGGAGCAACAAACATTGACATTCGTCAGTACAGCTATTCTGGACAACCAGATGACACTTACCTTGGTAAACATTTCTCTCTCTCTCTTTTTTTTTATTGCATTTTATGTTTTGGGGTACATGTGAAGAACATACAAGATTGTTGCATAGGTACACACATGGCAGTGAGATTTGCTGCCTTCCTCCCCCTCACCTATATCTGACATTTCTCCCCATGCTATCTCTCCCCACCTCCCCACCCCCCGTCCCTTCCCCATTTCCCCTCAACAGTCCCCAGTGTATAGTGCTCCCCTCCCTGTGTCCACGTGTTCTCATTGTTCAACACCCACCTATGAGTGAGAATATACGGTGTTTGATTTTCTGCTCTTGTGTCAGTTTGCTGAGAATGATGGTTTCCAGGTTCATCCATGTCCCTAGAAAGACACGAACTCATCGTTTTTGATGGCTGCATAATATTCCATGGTGTATATGTACCACATTTTCCCTGTCCAGTCTGTCATCAATGGGCATTTGGGTTGGTTCCAGGTCTTTGCTATTGTAAACAGTGCTGCAATGAACATTCGTGTGCATGTTCCTTATAGTAGAACGATTTATAATCCTTTGGATATATACCCAGTCATAGGATTGCTGAGTCAAATGGAATTTCTATTTCTAGGTCCTTGAGGAATCGCCACACTGTCTTCCGCAATAGTTGAACTAATTTACACTCCCACCAACAGTGTAAAAGTGTTCCTATTTCTCCACATCCTCTCCAGCATCTGTTGTCTCCAGATTTTTTAATGATCGCCATTCGAACTGGCGTGAGATGGTATCTCAATGTAGTTTTGATTTGCATTTCTCTAATGACCAATGATGATGAGCATTTTTTGATATGTTTGTTGGCCTCCTGTATGTCTTCTTTTGTAAAGTATCTGTTCATATCCTTCACGCACTTTTGAATGGGCTTGTTTGTTTTTTTCTTGTAGATCTGTTTTAGTTCTTTGTAAATTCTGGATATTAGCCTCTTGTCAGATGGGTAGACTGCAAAAATTTTTTCCCATTCTGTTGGTTGCCGATTCACTCTACTGACTGTTTCTTTTGCCGTGCAGAAGCTGTGGAGTTTGATTAGGTCCCATTTGTCTATTTTGGCTTTTGTTGCCAATGCTTTTGGTGTTTTGGTCATGAAGTCCTTGCCTATGCCTATGTCCTGAATGGCTTTGCCTAGATTTTCTTCTAGGGTTTTTATCGTGTTAGGTCTTATGTTTATGTCTTTAATCCATCTGCAGTTAATTTTAGTGTAAGGCGTCAGGAAGGGGTCCAGTTTCTGCTTTCTGCATATGACTAGCCAGTTTTCCCAACACCATTTATTAAACAGGGAATCCTTTCCCCATTGCTTGTTTTTGTCAGGTTTGTAAAAAATCAGATCGTTGTAGATATGTTGTGTTTCCTCCGAGGCCCCTGTTCCATTGGTCTATATCTCTGTTTTGGTACCAGTACCATGCTGTTTTGATTACTGTAGCCTTGTAGTATAGTTTGAAGTCCAGTAGCGTGATGCCTCCTGCTTTGTTCTTATTGCTTAGAATTGACTTGGCTATGTGGGCTCTCTTTTGGTTCCATATGAAGTTTAAGGTGTTTTTTTCCAGTTCTGTGAAGAAGGTCATTGGTAGCTTGATGGGAATAGCGTTGAATCTGTAAATTACTTTGGGCAGTATGGCCATTTTCACGATGTTGATTCTTCATAACCATGAACATGTAATGTTTCTCCATCTGTTTGTGTCCTCTCTTATTTCATTGAGCAGTGGCTTGTAGTTCTCCTTGAAGAGGTTCTTTACGTTCCTTGTTAGTTGTATTCCTAGGTATTTTATTCTCTTTGTAGCAATTGTGAATGGCAGTTCATTCTTGATTTGGCTCTCTTTAAGTCTGTTACTGATGTATAGGAATGCTTGTGATTTTTGCACATTGATTTTGTATCCTGAGACTTTGCTGAAGTTGCTTATCAGTTTCAGGAGATTTTGAGCTGAGACGATGGGGTCTTCTAGATATACACTCATGTCATCTGCAAATAGAGACAATTTGATTTTCTCCTTTCCTTTTTGAATACCCTTTATTTTTTTTTCTTGCCTGATTTCTCTTGCTGGTAAACATTTCTCTTAAACAGCAACCAGTATGTAGCTCATGTGCAATTTCGTGGAAGTTTGTAGTTGGTGTAAATTCTTGGAAAGCAACAAGATTCCCTTTAGCAAACATGCAATTTCATTTCATACTGAGCTTAGGGCTCCCTATGCATATGTTCTTAAGCAATCCAAAATGTATTACTAAAAAAAAAAACTAAATGAAATTCTGAACAATAATTTGTTTTCAGTTTTTTCTCATGAGAGTATTTTAGATAACCAGATATTATAGTCAATTAGTTGCATGTGTATTTAGAATAAAATTCTCTTCTATCATTTTGTCTAATATTAATTATAGAATTCTTTGAAATTAAATGTTTTAAATAATTTTTTCAAGTTTTTTTTACTATGTAGCTGAAGTATTTGAATACAGTTTTTTTTAAAACCTTTTGGATTTTTTTAAAAAGCCAGAAAAAGAATTGTGGTTTCACATTTTTATATGTTAATGAATGTAGTCAGAGTATATTGTCTGTTAGCTATTGCTAAAGTATAGACTTAATTTATGTTATTTATTTTTACAAATTAGCTTTCAGGCTTAAAGAATTTTACTTTAGACACAAATATGAGAAGAATGTTTTACACAGTTTCCTTCTGCCCGAGAAACATCTTAATACAGTTATCTGTAATTTACTAAACTGGAGTAGGTAGGTAATGATGCAGAGCTGGTATTGAGAAAGCATCTGCTGCACATTAATAAGATGTGAAATACTGACTCAGATAATTAGGCTGTGTAAATGGCAATCTGAATCTGTAATGAACAGCCTATCTCAGGAATTGCATTTGGAACTATAAACTCAAATGTAAAGGGAACAACTGCTTAATGGATACAAGGTTTCCTTTTGGGTGAACAGGTTTTGGGACTAGATAGAGGTAATGATTGTACATCATTGTGAATATATAAATGCCATTGAATTGTTTGTTTAACAATGGTTAATTTTATGTTATATTAGTTTCACCTCATTAAAAATGCAAAATATTCATTAAATAAAATCAAATGTAAGTTGTTTGAATTATTGGCCTTTTACATTTAGTTGAAATACTTTTCCTTGTGTTAAAAATATTACCTCAGTGCATATATATATATATATATATATATATATATATATATATTCTATAGGCATATATTAGTGTCTGTCACTGGGAAAAAGAGAACAAGAAGGGGACATGAACAGAGAGGGAAATACGAGTATCATTCTGAAAAGCAGATATCCATGTATGTGTTAACAAGGGATAAAGGGCTTTTCTATGAAAGATCTAGACATTTGTGTAGAGAATGGTATAGTCATTGCATGCATGGCCTTCTAGAATGTTAAGACTAGAGTTTTAAAGCTTTGTACCTTTTTTCTAAAATAAGCATAAAGGGAATGTTGCAGCAATCTGGCTGCTCCTTCTTTCCCTACCATTGATGACAAGGATGATTGAACTAATCTATCTGCTGGGGTCATGACTTCTTTCTGCTTTCCCATTTCCTGTTTGTCTCTTCTGATGCTACATGCTTCATGGAAGAAGATGACTATCTGAGATAGAAAAATACAGAGTGAATGTATTTTAATATCTTTGGCTGATGTGCGGAAGTGACCCAACTTATTGATTAAATCCCACATTACAGTAAAATGAAGTTTATTTCCTCAACATTAATTTAAATTTACGTCTTTAATTTCAAAAAAGGATTCGAACTTTAAAAGTTAGACTAGGCCGGGCATGGTTGCTCATGCCTGTAATCCTATTACTTGAGAGGCCGAGGCAGGTGAATCACCTGAGGTCAGGAGTTTGAGACTGACCTGGCCAACATGGCAAAACCCTGTCTCTACTAAAAATACAAATATTAGCTGGGTGTGGTGACACATGCCTGTAATCCCAGCTACTTGGGAGGCTGAGGCAGGTGAATCACTTGAACCCAGGAGGCGGAGGTTGCAGTGAGCCGATGTGCTATTTCACTCCAGCCTAGGAGATAGAGCAAGACTCCATCTTTAAAAAAAAAAAAAAAAAAAAAAATGGTTAAACAGATATTTTCTGTGTTGTTGGTTGGGTTTACTATTTCATGAGTTTTGCTTATATTCTTTTACAGCATTATCTGACGCTGAAGGGAATTTTATTTTAAATGGAAATTTTGTTCTAAGTAGATCAAGAAAAGAAGTCAATGTGCAAGGAACAAGAACTGTTATTGAATACAGTGGATCAGACAACTCAGTTGAAAGAATTAATAGTACTAATCGACAAGAGAAAGAACTTATTTTGCAGGTAAGTTCTGTCATCAGTAGTAACACTTAGATTTAATTATATTAGTAAACTACTGGTTAAGTGCTTATTATAAAATGTAAAATGATGTCTTAAGAATATATTTTTTTATGAATTAATTGTATGTTTCTTTGTATTCTTATTGAGGTGTTGTGTGTGGGTAATTTATACAACCCTGATGTACGTTACTCCTTCAATATCCCTTTGGAAGAGAGGAGCGACAGGTTCACATGGGACCCCTATGGACCATGGGAAGACTGTACCAAAATGTGTCAAGGTATACTGGCATTCAATATGGGATGAAAGAGTGTGCATTCTGGCATCATTCTGGGCATTTTTGAGTCTGGGTACATATGGAATCCTTCCCACTGTCCATACAGTTATCCCACACAGACATACAAAGGTTTTTAATCATTTTTTCCTTTCTACTTTTCTCGCTGATTCTCTTATACTTAACAGCACTATTTAATGCTACTCTTTTCAAACTTCTCTATTACTGTTCTTTTACTTTCCCATTCTTAGTCTCTTTTTCACAGCCACAGAAAATTTCTGTAACTTATATATATCCTACTTCTTAGTGAAATCTGCCTTTTCTTCCACTCATCTTCACACACTCTTTCTCAACAACCTGGCTTCCTCTTTTATTGTTGAGATATCAAACATTATTTTATCTTTGTATTTTCCTTCCCTGACCGTGAGAAAGTATAATTGTACAGATGGCATGAAAAACTGAAAGAAATAGAATGGAAAAGGAGCACAGTGGGAACCGCAGGGCAATTTATAGTAAGGAAATAAAGTGTAAAGACTGGAGTCTGTGCAGTCTGTAATTATGGATATTTGTGTAATACTATGTTCAATGCAATAAATATTTATTGAAGGAATATATCCAGATTATTAAGATCCCAATTCTGCATTCACTTTTAGTCTAGTGCTTGAAACAGGTGCATGAATATATATGTTAGTTTATAAAATGATAAATACAGTACTATAGATATGCACAGTATGGACCTTAGAAAAGGTGGAGGGAGCAGTTTTTGAGGAGACTGAAGCTGAAGATAGAGAATGTTGTGTAGAATGGGGAAAAAAAGTTTTCATGAAGATTAGAGAAAAAGTTTGGGAATTAGGGCAGCAGTGGGTCAGAGGAAAGGAAGCCCAGAACCATGGGGAGATGGGCTTATCATAGAAAGTGTGCTGCCAGAGGGAGTGACCAAAGATGGTGAGAATGTGAAGAACAGTCTAACAAACTGACCTGACAAAGTGCCAAAGGAACTGTGGTGCCCTATTCTGGAAGAGGCACAGTCTTTTTCCTGTGGCATCTAGACAGTACTTCCCACAATGCTTTCGTGGGAACAAATGTTCCTGTTACTGTTTAAGCAGTGTCTCAGTGGAGGGATACAAGGAGATGATGCGTGATTGACTGGGATAAATGCTAGAGGTAGAAAACACAGAGCTTTGGTTAGCAGTGAAGATGGAAGAATTTATTTTGTCAGAAAGGCCCTGAATATCCTTTTAGAAGACAATTGGAATTTTGGGAGCTGGAACCAGCATTCCAGCTTGAGTGGGTAAGCTTGTCTGTGACCATGGATATAGGGAGCTAGAAAGATAAATTCTAGCAACAGGAGAATGAAGGAACATTTTAAAATGCAAGGAACACACCAAGAATAACAAGATTCAAAATGGAAGTTTGGACAAACATGGTGAGAGATGATTTGGGAGTCCAAAGCAGGAGAGTTCTCTTAAACAATCATGTGCAAGGGAAAAGGAATCCTTATTTCTTTTACCACATAGTGTCTTATGATGATGTTCCTATTTTGTGTAAGTTTTTTTACTTTCTCTAAAATTACATTTCCTAAGTTTTGTTTATTTCAGTGTCCTGAAAGTTATCAGTACTCAAACTTTTTGTCAGAACTATATGTTCTATCTTAATATTTTCAAGCATATTATAGAACTTATCAATTTGATTTTTTCTTCATTTCTTCTTTACCTTTGGCTACTGTGGCCCTCTTTTCTCTAATTTGTCTGTGTTGCTTTTCAGGCTTGTTTAATGACTGTCATCTTGAGATTTCCCTTCATTATTGTCCTGGTAATTCTCTTCAGTATTCTGTGCTAGATTCCTTGTTTTCTAAATCTTATCAATCCCTCTTTTTGATTTATTTCTTTCATTGGGTGGAACATATCCCTCAGTATTTTCTTGAGAAAAAAAGTAGATTCTTTTGAGACCTTTCATATCTGAAAATGTCATAATTATATTCTCATGCTTGGTCAGTAGTTTGGTTGGTATAAATAGAGATTATTTTTCTTTAGAATTTTGAATACCTTGTTTTCTGGCTTATTTTCTGATTTTCTGTGCTTGTACATAGCATGTTATATTCTGCAAGTTTTGTGGATCCTCTCTTTAATTCTAGTGGTATGAAATTTCAGGACAATGTGCCTTGATTTGGTTGTTTTTTCATCTTTTTTTCTAGGCAATTAAGATGCCATTCCAATTTGGAAACATAAATCTTTGTCTTGAGAAGTTTTATCATGTTCTTTGATGACTTCCTCATGTTAGCTTTTCTCTTATATCTTTGGGAAATTACTATTATTTGGATGTTCACATTCCTAAACTGATTTTTTATTTTCTAATATATTCTCTCAATTTCACTGTTTTCTTAATGTTTCTTCTCATAACATCTTGCTTTTGTTTTATGAATGTCATACCTTCTATTGTATCTCTGAGTGTATTAATCATAGTCTTTAGTTTCCTTCTGCTCCCTGATTTATATGGGTTTCATCCTAGTTCTATTTTGTTATTGTTTATTTTACATTTTTTTGTGTGTTCAAAGCATTCTTAAAATGTTTACTGATCTTGTGCTGTTCACTCATATTTTAAAAGTACAAAAATTCTGATTGAAAGTCCTCTCTGAATCAGACAAGTTAACTAGAAGTTAAGTTATAGAGTAATTTGGTAATTAAGTAGCCCTCTCATATGTCATTGGAGAGAAGCTCCAAATGTTATTGTCAGTTGATTGTTTTTCTTGAGTTAAACAGCACCACAAGGGAGGAATTCTCTCATCTTCTGATAGTCATGAGGGGGCTGCAGAACAACAGAAGTTGGCATGGTGCCAGCGGGAAACTGAGTGCTGAATGGGCTGGGGTTACATCATTCAGTGTGGAGAATTTTACTTAGCCACACTGTTTCAGTAGGATGTGTTCCCAGCTGTTCTCAGCTGTGTCTTATGCCCTCAAGTTCACTTTTTCTAGAGCTATGCTGTCCAATATGGTAGCCACTAGCCACGTGTGGTTAATCTATTGAAATGTGAAATACATACTAAATTTGGAAGGCTTAGAATAAAAAAAAGAATGTAAAATATATTATTAATAATTTTATATTAATATGTTAAAATGATCATATTTAAAATATTTGGGGCTAAATATAAATGTTATTAAAATTAACCTTTTTTTTTTTTGCTTTTTAATATGACTACTAGAAAATATAAAGTTCCAGATGTGGTTCACATTCTGTTTTCATCGGACAGTGATGCTCTCAGCTAGGAAGCTAGTGGTGTAACCCTTCTTCATAAATACTTTTCAATTAGTTCTTTATTTTTTCAGACCCTCACACATTCTCCCTATCAGAGGAACCTGGTGTTTTCCATTCCTGGGCTTTTCTTGGGTTCTTTGTCATGAATGGTTTGTTTGTTATTTACTTTCCCACTTTGCAGGCTTAGATTTCATCTTCCTTGGCTCTGTTAAATAGTTATTTCCATATACGTTTCATATTCAACATTTCAAATTCAAAATCCTTGCTTTGTTTTTCTTTTCCTATTTTTGTTCTCTTAGGTTTATGCTTTTTCAGAATTTCTCATAGTTATTTGAATGGATATTTAGGAAGGAGCAGAGATAACATATATGATCACGTTTAGTTAACTGGAAGCACAAACAACAGAAATTTGTTCATGTCACTGACTGTTTAAACTCTTTACCATCTCCTCATTGCAGAAAGCATAAAGTTCAAATGACTCTGGTCAGTTACTTCTCTTAGTTTGCTTTTGCTGTAGTTATGCTGGATGCAAACAACAATCACATCTTAATTGCTTGGAACAATAAAGGCTTATTTATTGCTCATATGTTTTAGCTGCTAATTGGCTATGGCTCTACTCCAACTTGGTATCTATGTCCATGATTTTTAATATTATTTAGAGACTTTATTTTTTAGAGAAGTTTTAGGTTTACTGAAAAATGGAGTAGAAAGTACAGAAAGTTTGCATATTCATCCTTCTTCCCTGTGCCATTCCTGCCACTCACTTGCACTCCTCTATTATTAACATTTTGCATTAATGTGGCACATTGTGCAATTGATGAGCCAGTTTTGATACATTGTTATTAACCGAAGTACATAGTTTACATTAGAGTTCACTCTTCGTGTTGTAAATTCTATAGGTTTGACAAATGTATAATGACATGTAATCACCAATATAATACCATACACAGTAGTTTCACTGCCCTAAAAATCTCCGGTGCTTCAACTATTTATTCTTCCTTCCTTTGCCAACAAATGGTGACAAACACTGATCTTTTTATTGTCTGTCTATGCCTTTTTCCTTCATGATTTCAGGCTGAAAGATCAGCTCTATCTGGGAAATGATGTTCTGGATGCAGAAGCAAAAAAGAAAGAGAGCTGGGTGGGACTTGAATAGGTCACATTCCTTTTCAGTCAGTTGATAAAAGCCTGATGCCAATGGACAGGAAAGAGATCTTCTGCTACACGAAGTTACTATAACATTGTAGCAATAGAGATGCACAATCCTCTTATGGGGAAAGGGGAGGTAGCTGACAGATGACAATAATATAATGTACTGTATAGCAACAGCACTGTTCCCAGCTACTCAATTATTCACAAACAACCACTCTATCCTGCTATAGTGAATTTCTTTTTACTCCAATGCCTGTCCCATCTTCTGTACATCTCTTCATTAAGCAAACTCCTCAGTCACTCAGGATTCAGTTTACTTATCATAAAAAGTCATTCCTCACTAGATTAATATACTAGTATATCCTGTATGTTGCATGGGCAGTTTTTACTTGCTTAGCTGACTCCTTTAAGTTATTACCAGAATTGTATAATTGTAGAATGTCTAACTATGTTAATTTTCTTTTCATTTTTTATTTTCATTTGACGTTGGCCAAGGTTTTCAGAGAAGAAAAATAACTTGCATACATAAGAGTGATCATAGTGTTGTGTCTGATCAAAAATGTGACCACTTGCCTCTTCCATCGTTAGTTACTGAAAGTTGCAATACAGACTGTGAACTAAGGTAAAAACAGAAATATATATGTAATATAACCAGGTTAATAAGTGAGCTAAGATTAAAACATTTAGCACAGTGACTGATAATTAATACTCGTCATCTGCCCCTGTCATGAAAAAATTTCAGTCTCACTAATTTATGATAAAACTCAGTACATAATTGATTTGAATTTTCACTCATAGTATTTTCTGAATACCAATATATAGGTCTCAATGTTTTGCATAGAAAATGGTTGCAATTTTGTCTGTAAAATAAATACACCTAAACTCTGATCTGAAAATGGATGGCTTAAAGGTCTGAAACAATAATTTTTGTAGCACGATTCTTTATTTTCCACTGAATTAATGAATCAGTAAACTTCTGAAGTTTGGGGATTGGAGAAATCAAATTGATTGATTTCCTTGGTATTCTATCAGTATGTTTTCCATTAAACTTTAGGGAAATTGATCCTAAAGCATGACAGGAAATTTATACTTCTAAATTTCTTGTTATGTGTGTGTGTGTGTATGTGTGTGTGTGAGAGAGAGAAAGAGAGAGAGAGAGAGAGAGATCGGTTTTGGAGTGACATATGGTATACAATTAGTCCATCTATCACATTTATTTTTAGCATTGTAGCAGGTGCCATTTAACATTCATGTATGGCCAGAACCTTTTTCACTTAATAAGGATGAGAATTTCTATATATTTATGATTTTGTTTGAAGACATAGCAAAAGCACAGTAGTAGAACTGCCTGTATAAGCTGCATCCACTACATAGTAGCAAAAGGAAGCATAGTGAAATCCTTGAGATGCTATTACGGATGGAAATGAATTCCATGAATTCTGTGCTTCGTTACACTGGTGCTCTCACATTGATAAATGCTAGACTACAATTGGGATAATTTTACTACAACTAACATTTTTAATCGTGGAAAAATGTTTCCCCTGGAAACATGTCTAAATATAGATTACATGAATTAATGAGAAAATGTAGTGTACTTTAAAAAAACTAGCTAACTTTTTAAAGATTATCTTTATTGATGTAGTCAAATACCTAGTCATTCCCTGGTCATAAAATCAAAGTACTTATAGAGGGATTGCATAAGGAGAAACTACCTGATTTGGAGTCAAATATATTCAGTTATTGTCTTAAATCTGCCACTAAGTAATTGGGTAATCATGATCTAAACCAGTTGTTTTCAAAGGTTTTTGAGGAAGCTTGGGGTTCCTTGGACACACCTCCAAAGCTGCCACCAAATGCTGGTGTGAGATCAGTAGTATAATGCTGGCTTCTTGGCTCCAGACTGGTTTTGTTTTATGGTGGTGTGTCCATTAACTCAGAATTTTAAAAACTGAGGGCATGAGTGTCTCTGAATTTGTTTTTTAATTATGTAATATACCTCCTAAGTATAATAACATCTTTTTTCTAGGTGGCATGTTATTGGCAAAAGTAAATGTTCATCCCAATGTGGTCAAGGATATAGAATTTTGGACATCCGTTGCATAAAGTATTCCATTCATAAAGGACAGACTATTGCAGTTGATGACCACTACTGTGGTGACCAACTTAAACCTCCTACCCAAGAACTATGCCATGGTAACTGTGTCTTCATAAGATGGCATTATTCAGAATGGTCTCAGGTACAATAACAATGATTGCTTAAAAAAAAGTTGCCCCTTTTTTTCTAATTAAATATTTATGTTACTCCAAAGTATAATTTTGTTAAAAATCTACTATTTTTTCCATTAGTTACCGCTTTTTTTTTTTTTAAATTAGTGTTCCAGGAGTTGTGGAGGAGGGGAAAGGTCTCGAGAATCTTATTGTATGGATGACTTTGGCCATCATCTTCCTGACAATGAATGCCAAGAACTGTCCCGAGTGACGAAAGAGAATTGCAATGAATTTTCCTGTCCCAGTTGGGCTACTAGTAAATGGAGTGAGGTACATTAAACACATGAGGCTTGGAACTATTAAAATACTGTGTTAGTAAAGCTTTGTAATCTAAGACTTAACAAAATTTAAAAGTGCTTAAATTTGTTTCATCATTTTGTAAATAACTATTATCAAGGCAATCAGAAATTTATAAGACAGGCCAGGCACAGTGTCTCATGCCTATAATACCCAGCTCTATGGGAGGCTGAGGTGGGCAAATTTCTTGAGCTTAGAAATTCGAGACCAGCCTGAGCAACATGGTAAAACCTAGCCAGGTGTGGTGGTACACATCTGCGGTCCTAGCTACTCGAGAGGCTGAGTTGGAAACATTGCTTGAGCTTGGGAGGTGGAGGTTACAGTGAGCGGAGGTTGCAGTGAGTAGATACTGCAGTGAGCCGAGATTGGCCTCTGCACTCCAGCCTGGGTGACAAAGTGAGACTCTGTCTCAATAATCAAGCAAAAAAATGAAATGAACAAGATAGTTTGTCTTTACACTATTTACAGTTTCTTGCTAGCAATAACACTAACTGATGTTTAATGTATAACCCTTTGCATAAGAAAGTGCCAGGGTCCACAGCAGCATGGGTTGTATACTTATCCTAAGGTTAGTTTTGCATCTTTGTTTCTAGGATAAATGGATATTTCAGTGGAACTTGGGCAGCAGAAGTTAGGGGCAGGCTGATTTTACACAGTGAATATCTCTGGAGAAGTGAGGGAAAATGCATTTGGAAGTGATCTTTCAACTGTATTTTAATACACAAATTGATCATTGCATCATTTTAAGGCATTTGTGTTGACTAATGCTGCAAATAAATAGTGATCACTTGTATTCTTACAGTGCCTTGTCACATGTGGTAAAGGAATAAAGCAGCGGCAGGTATGGTGTCAGCTGAATGAAGATCATTTGAGTGATGGCTTCTGTAATTCAAATAACAAACCTGAATCTCTGAGTCCATGTGAACTCCATACATGTGCTTCCTGGCAAGTAGGACCATGGGGTCCTGTGAGTATATGATACGGGGTTTTCTGATTTGATCTATCTTTACAGAATAACACAAAAGTTGTGTTATATTTACTCCTCCCTTAGCGAATGCATTGGAATTTGGCTTGTTTTTTTTTTTTTTAAAAAAAAGCAACAACCCTGAAATGTGAATCTTTACATGCAACTATGCAACTAGTTGACAGCACTGCTTATTTTGCTGTAATAAGTATTTCAGCTTTGCTTTTGAACTCCCTTTTGTTAACCAAAATACTACAGACTCTATGCTTTTATCAGCTTTGTTTAAATTATAAATATTTTCATCTCTCTGTCTGCATTGATATCTTTGCTGTATTTAGGATAGGCATTGTTTAGACGTTTTACTGAACAGGCAGCTAGGAGTCTGCAGAATGAGCAGTGATCAGGCTGGTTGAGGATAGCGTAGCTTATCATTTCGTAGAGGTTGCCACAGTTGACAGAAGCCTTCTCTCATCTTCCCTTTAACTTTATCATATGTTGTTTCTTCTTTGTCTCTTTAAAATTTACTTAGTATATTAAATGACATTCGTACACTAGGTGGAGTTTGAAAAGTATATCAAATGACGTGCATACACTAAGTGGAGTTTCCTTAAATCATATTGACTGTTTCTAAAATATCAGGCCTCTATTTATATTTTTATATGACAGCTTTTTAGAATACATTAATTTTGTACAGTTTGGTTAACTTCAATATTCGATTTGTATTTACTAAATTTGAATAAATATACATATTGGATTTGCTCTTTTTAAGTCTTAAATCTGGCATAAAGGACTGGTAAAGTGATTATTGAAAGCATATTATTAACAGGGTATTTGTTAAGAAAATAGAAGTTTATGTAACTTTCGGAAAACAACTTTTTAAAAATACCTATTTATATTCTTCTTACAGTGCACAACCACATGTGGACATGGGTATCAGATGCGAGATGTTAAATGTGTCAGTGAGCTAGTTACTGCAGTGTTAGAGGACACAGAATGCCATGAAGCTAGTCGTCCCAGTGACAGACAGGTAAAGGAATCGTGGGTTACAAACAAAAATATTTATGAGTCAGAAATATTACTGATGTCTTAAAATTATTTCTTTACTTGTTTTTTTCCACTTAATCTTACGTGCCTTAAAAATGTATGTGGCAGAGAGAGGAAAAAATACATAGAATTTGTTACTCATTTTGCCAGCTTTGTAGCTTTATTAATGAATATTTTTTTTACTCTTTTTCTGCTAATATTTTTTACTCATTTAACTTGTGTATTTCCATTCTTTGAACTGAAGAAGACGGATATCTATTATTAAACTCCTAAAGTGTATTGTGCTTTTCAAGGTAGAGTTCTGTGTCCATTCAGAATGTTTTAGCTGAGCAGTATTTAAAGACTGATGCTCTTTTCCTTTTCAACAATCAAACAGAATGGTCCAAACTTCAGGATTCAGTCATTATCTGCTACTGATTCTTGACAATAGTGTAGTTTGTGCTTTTGAAAAATGAAAACATTCATATTACCTATTTGTAATTTAGTATGCAACTATTCTTGAGACATATCGAAGAAGAAATGAAGTATTGGATTTTATGTAAATCAGTCATTAATGTTTTATGAGATTCATTTTTCTTTTGAACAGAACTGTGTACTTACATCTTGCCCATTTATTTCTAAACTTGAGACCAGTTTATCACCAACTGTTCTCATAGAGAAGATGGCAAAATGGCGACATGGTTCTTGGACCCCAGTAAGTGAATTTCTTTAAGATATATGGTGTTTCTATTATGGAGGCTTTTAGACATCAACAAAATGGTTGTTAGAGATTTGACAAATTAATGTACACATTCAGTCTCAGGTATTTTGATGTTATAGAAGAAACATGGGGTTTAGAATTAGGAATTAGTGGCCAAGTATTTTGCCTTTCAAGTGTCTGTGGACAAGAAATTGAAGTTTTCTGAGTCTATTTGCTAATCTTCAAAATGGGAATAATAATAATACTTAGGTCACAGGTTGTTATGAGAAGCAGATACAGTATTAGGCTTTTATCAGCTTTTATTTAAACTACAGACATTTTCATGTTGTTTTCCTACACTGAAAGCTTTAATGTATGTAGAGTATACTTTGCTACGATCTTATAGAATATGTATTTTTAAGCTTCACATATTCTCTGAATATTTTAATATGAAATCATGTCTGTTACTTAGATAATAATTGATATTAGATATCAAAGTTATTTTTATTGATATTATAAGATTCTCTTATCTAAAGTATTTTTAGTATCTTTAATTTTTAGCAAATAAGCATTATTTTAAATCATTATATTTATATATTATTGAAATTATTGTACATTATTTGTGAAATTTATGATATAAACTGATTGGAATATTCACTACTACATCTTTATTTGACTCAGATGTGATGTCAGGTGATATTACCTATAATTTAAATATTCTCAAGAAACTAAATGTTTTAGAAATGTGAGTAACAGTGATGTATAAGGGACATGTGCGAGGAACTACTGTGTAATGCCTGGATACAATTTGATTTTTCAAACAGTGCTCCGTATCTTGTGGAAGAGGTACTCAAGCCCGCTATGTAAGCTGTCGTGATGCTCTTGATAGAATAGCAGATGAATCATATTGTGCCCACTTACCCCGACCTGCTGAAATATGGGACTGTTTTAGCCCTTGTGGAGAGTGGCAAGCAGGGGATTGGTCACCTGTAAGTATTCTTATGAGAAAAACAGAAAATGAAAAATTTAAATATATTTGATATTAAATATAAACTAATGTTGTGTATTACCATTGGCTAAATTTTTAATCAGTGTTCAGCTTCCTGTGGCCATGGAAAAAGAACTCGACAAGTTTTATGCATCAACTACCATCAGCCAATTGATGAGATTTACTGTGATCCTGAAGTTCGCCCTTTGATGGAACAAAAATGTAGCCTGGCAGCCTGCCCACCCACATACAGACACTTTCCTCATTCCTCTGTGCAGCCAAGCTATTATCCAAGCATGAATTTACCATTAACTCACAAACTTGAAGATGATGAAAATCATGTGGTTTATCCATCAGTCAGAGGAAACCAGTGGAGAACTGGACCATGGGGATCAGTAAGCCAACTTTATTGAGTTATATTAATTCTGTAATTTTGTTACTTTACATCCTTTTAACAGGTATGTATATGATGTCATCAGTACTTTAAATGCTAAATTTATTTGATGATCGATAGTTTAAATATTGAAAGGATTAACCATTTTTTGATGCTGATTATAAATGCTAGAGTTCTTATTAAATTATGCACTAATGTGTTATTATGATTACAGAGGAATGTACTATAAAACAATCTGATTAGAATTCATTTTAATAAAAACAAAAGAAAATCCTTTAAGGGATAAGACTATAAATGTTTATGAAAAACCCTAAACCCAAAAATTATTATGATAGCAATAAAATAAGCTGGTATAAAATCATGACAAACTACAAATGGTATAATTGTAGTTCATATTTTACATGAGATTAATAATACAAAATAAAGAAAGCAGCCAGTATCAAGTTAAGTAATTTACTAGTCTTTTATTCCTTCCTAGTGAGACCTCAAAAGTTTAATTTCTTTTTACTTAACACTTATGATAAAAGTGAAAATTGTTTCCTAATGCAGACTTGAAAGTCCCACCTTTTCATCAACAAATTCTAATGAAGCTCCCAGTAAGCCTCAAGTGTTCTGACTGATTTTCTCAATTCAAATTATGATTCCAATGAAGGAGATTTTAATGTAGAGTTTGATTTTGATTGAGTCAATGCTGATTTTTTTTTACCACATATAAATTTATGATATGGAATCTGCAGTTTGTGCATATTTTGTGTTTTATCCTTGTCAGTGCTCTAGCAGTTGTTCTGGAGGTCTTCAGCGCAGGGCTGTGGTCTGCCAGGATGAAAATGGACAAAGTGCCAGTTACTGCGATGCAGCCTCCAAGCCTCCAGAGTTAAAGCACTGTGATCCAGGGCCTTGTCCACAGTGGAACTACAGAAGTTGGAGAGAAGTAAGTCATAATATTTCCTAAACGTGTGAGATTATTACATCTATGAAGACTGAAAGTAAAAAGTGCTTTATACAGTTTGATAATCTCGTTTGACTGTACAATGTAGAAAAAGTTTTTGTTTTTTTTTAAATTTTGAGACAGGATCTCACTCTGTTGTCCAGGCTGAAGTGCAGTGGCACAATCTTGACTCACTGCAACCTCCAGCTCCTGGGCTCAAGTGATTCTCCTGCTAATTTTTTATATTTTTAATAGAGACAGGAATTTTACCATGTTGCCCAGGCTGGTCTCAAGCTCCTGGTCTCAAGTAATTCTCCTGCCTAGATTGTTTTTTTAGTTGAGTGATTAAACCATGTTTTTTTAGTAGATATTCTGTCATGGTTTAGGTCACTCATTAATGATAAATGCGTACTCTAGATTTTTCAACAGAATCTAATATGGTAGGCAATATGTCTGCGAACTACTAGTATCTTTCTAAAATTGGTTGACTCTCTTAATTTTTTTTAGAACATTAAGTTGGCATAAAAATAGAAAAATAGAATACAATATAGACCATGTTTTATCCTGTTATTAAGCTGTGCATTTAGCAAATCTTTTTCTTTAAGCCAGGTAGTAGTCAGTTATTGAGCACATGCTTCATGCACTGGCACTCTCTAGGCACTGGAAATGTAAAGATAATTTTCAAAGTCACTTTTAATAATAATTTCCTTCATAATATGGGATGGGAATGAAGCAAAGATTTCTATTAGCTTTGGATAAATCAAATGAATGACCTAATTAAATTAGTCGAATATTTTTGCTTAATGATTTTTAGCTCATAATTTCAAACATTGGGAGTTTGAAATTATGTTTTTAAAGTACACTCAGACCAGGTGCTAATACATATCAAGCACATTTTGAAGATACATTTTTACTATTTCCCAAAACAAAAGTAACTTATATTTCTGAGTTTACATGCACTCATTTTGAAAATTCAAATTATATGTCAAAATGGAGATACAAACTTTTAGCAAAATTTGATATATTTCCTGACAGAATTTTGTTCTACGTGAGTTTTAGAAATTGATTCGTATTTTACAGCTGCTTTGTTACTTGCTGTTTTTATATTATATATACTAAATGTCTTTTCATGTTTATAAAATTAGACCTACCTTATTATTAACAACTTTCATGATTACATAGTAATTTGTTGATTGGATATTGAACATTATGTCAATAATGCTCATAACTTAGGTAAATAAATTCTGATTCCGGCTTAGCCTGCCAACATTATCTTGTAGGTCCTGGATATCTTATTGAAATATATTATGATTCTAATCCTCAAAATCTGGTCAACTTTTAAAATCGCAGAATTGAAACTTTGATTTATTTTTTTTATCTAGGGAGAAATGTTGATAATTATGAAGTAATTATAAACTTAAACTCTACTATTACTAGAGTAACATTACTAGATGTTATAATTACTAAACATAATTAATAATTGTTTAAACGTTGAATGAAGCAATGTATTATTCTCTTTAAAACCACATAATTTTGAATTTTCCTATTCTTGTTTTTAGTGTACAAAAACATGTGGAGGAGGAATAAAAACAAGACTTGTAACATGTCAATTTCCCAATGGCCAAATACTAGAAGATCACAACTGTGAAATCATAAACAAGCCACCAAGTGTAATGCAGTGTCATATGCATGCTTGCCCTGCTGATGTGTCATGGCATCAGGAACCATGGACATCGGTATGATAGTATTCTTGTTTGTTAACATCTCATAAAGTTTGAGTCTGAGAGAGGCAGAGTTCATTCTTTTTTTTTTTCCTTTAACTTTTATTTTACATTAGCGGGTACCTATGCAGGATGTGCAGGTTTGTTACATAGGTAAACGTGTGCCATGGTGGTTTGCTGCACAGATTATCTTCATCACTTAGCTATTAAGCCTAGCATCCATTTGCTGTTCTTCCTGATGTTCTCTCTCCATCCACACTCCTCCCCCAACAGGCCCCAGTGTGTGTTGTTCCCCACCATGTGTTCATGTGTTCTCATCATTCAGCTCCCACTTATAAGTGAGAACATGCAATGTTTGGCTTTTTGTTCCTGCTTAGTTTGCTGAGGATAATGGCTTCCAATTCTATCCATGTCTTTGCAAAGGACTTGATCTAATTCCTTTTTATGGCTGCATAGTATCCTGGCGTGTATATGGTATGATAGTATTTGTATTCTGTTTTATTTTGCTCTATTTTGTCTCTTGCTTTAATTTCCTTTCTTTATAAATTATGGAATGCATAACTTTATCTTCTCAGATTTCTTTTTAAGTACATCATTGGCCTTCTTGGTTTATGTTTTGAAATTTGATAGTTTAGAAGAGGAATCCATTTAATTTTAAGTAGTGTAACATATGAGATTTTTATATATTTATTTTTTAATATGTGAATTTTGAACCATAACACTGTGCTAATGGAAATATTTTTTCCATTTTATCTTTGATTTGCTGTCAATCAGGAATATTATATTATTTGCGTTTATATGTAATGCTGACGTTGTGCTTGTAAAAATGGCAAATTAAGGTTGTGTCTTGTTTAAGCATATAATTATGTGTGGCTTTATCTGTTAATATCCATAGCTAATCCAAAAAACAAATAGCATTCTTTAAAACTTGTTTTTTGTCATGATTCGACTTATTATTTTGTTTGGAAATGTGAAAATATTATTTTTTAAAAAGTAGAGAAATTTACTTCCGTAACAGTTTTTTACATACATCATTGCAAAAGTATAATTTATGTAATAATTTATATTATTAAGCATTTCTCCCACTGTGTGGAGTACTGTGGTTTGGTAATATTTCAGTTTTCGGGTTGTTTATTGGAGCCATAGAAAAACTCATAAACTTTGTTCATGAATGATTCTCTAATAGTCTTCAAATATCCTTTTTTGAGGAATAATTAATATATAAGTATATTGAAATAATCATTTTGATTACCATTGATGCTTTAAATTATGAATGACTGAGTATGCTTATATTAAATGAAAAACTGATTTGAGTTTATAATCTATTTGTAATTAAATTTATAAAGCTAGATGGTTCTTTATTTGAAAATTAGTTATAACTCCAGTTTTATAACCAACCCTTGATGCCTGCACTTGTTTTGTTTTGCCCTACTCAAACATCTTTATAATAAGATGTAAACTCAAGTTTCAAGTCATGTTATTTAAAGAGTAGGTTAAGTTCTGGTTCAGGCCAAAATTCATCTTTATAGACAAAGTGTGACTGATGATATTAAACAACAGAACATTTAAACTTTATAGGATCTTAAAGTAAAATTGCTGCCTCAAAGGACCGTAATCTTGTGGGAACTAATTAAAAACGTATTTTGTCTTGAAAAACATTCACATATGTATTTAATAAATGTCATTACTGACCATCTACTATATCCTAGGCACTGTGATACAGAGATAACTGAAACACATTTCTTATGCCTATGGAGCTAACAGTTTACTTGGGGAGATTTGAAATATTGTAAGAACTCACCATAAGAAGACATTTTTTATTGGCTATCTTAGATTGGAAATCGAGTTTCTTCTTCTTATGTTTCTGTTGCATGTTCTTTCATTTTATTGGTTTTCGTTTGCAAGCCTAGTTCTTAAGAAGGCTATGAATTACTTTCCTGGAATTTTTTCCCCAATTTGGAAAGCAGAATCCTAACCACTAATGAGATTGAATTGTAATGGCATTTGTTTCTGAGCACAGACGTTTTATTTTCCCTACCCATTCATGACTTTAATTCACAAAGCATTAAACATTTACTTGGGTCTAATGCTTTATACTACGTATTGAAGGAATTAAAATTTAGTGGTTTTGAGTCAGATTCTCTATTTTAGAGGTCAGCAAACTATGGTCCATGGACCAAATCTGGCCTGATGCCTATTCTTGTAAATAGGTTTTATTGGAACATAGTCATGCTCATTTGTTTATATGTTATCTATAGCTGGTTTTGCACTACAGACATAGTATTATTTAGTTGCAATGGAAACTCTGTAATTCACAAAGCCTGAAATATTTATTATCTGGCTTTTACTGGGAAAAGTTTGCTGACTCCTATTATATTTAATAAACATTATAATGCTTTTTAAGTTTGACATAAAAATGTACTTAGATTTCTAGAATATTAAAATTACAAATAATTCATTCCAGGGAGTTTTAGATGTTTTTTGTCCTTCAAAATTTTACATTTTAAGGTTTATCAACCTTCTCTACATATCCACTGTGATACTCATACAATATTTATGTAAATGTATCTACTACTATATTCCAATATATTTTTGTTATGCTATTTTTGTATGTAAATTATGTCACAAGTGAAAAATCTGAATGTTCATTAAAGTCCTATGTATAGATGACTTTTCAACCTTACAAAAACAAATGACCAAGGAAACAATAATCACAGATTGCCAAATAGGAAGACAGATAGGCAGAATTCTTTAGTGTTTATTACATGTATATCTCTAAAGGAGTTCATTGAATAATTCAGTCTTTGCACTATGAAGAAATGTAATATTTTTATTTTTTTGATAAGTTGAAGATAATGAAGTTTTTAAAATTACAATAAATGTTTGTGTAGCATTTTTATAAATATATTTATTTACTTTTTTATATGTATACATAATTAAAGTGACTGGATTTCTTTTATTATCTGAAGCATATTTATTTGTTAAATTAGCCTTTTATATTAAAAGGGTTTAGGGGATCTGAAGTTTTGTGGCCAGTGCCAAATATAACATTTTACCTCTTTCAGTGTTGGTGTATATTATAGACAAACTTCAGAATACTTCATTAGCATATCAGATTAATATTCTTTCATGGATAACTTTAACTTCAACAGATCCTGTTGACTAAGTAGAAAATTAAGAGTGTGTATGCATATGTGTGTGTATGAGTGAGTGACATGAAATCGCAGAAGCATTTTTTATTTGAATGCAAATGAAATGTGAAATGTAAAATCATTTAAATATTATTAGAAAGTTTTAAGATACATTTAAATTTTCTTAATATTGTAGAAAGTTGTGTTGTAATAAAAAAGGATAAATAAATCTTAACCTATGTTAATTTAACAGCTACATTTTTGGTGATCAGTAAGCATGAAATGATTGTATTTTTACCTATTTATTAATGAGTATCGTGGCTTTGTGCTTTATGTCATTCATATGTATGTTGTATTTTTACGCCTTGGACTTAAAGTGTTTTAAGTCATTGAACTGATCTTGTATTACTAATATAAGGAATACCTCCTTTCTTTTGGTGGTATTTTTCTTAAATTACAAACTGTTAAATTCTCTTATTAAACTTTTAATCATTGAATAGTATATATTTTCATAATTGTACTTAGTTTATGTATAAGCTACTGTGTTTTACATAATATTCCTGTTAGAAATTAACACTGGGATTTAAAGGTATGAGATTTATTGGTTAGCTATCAACTTTTAAATACTGTGGAATTTTTATAATTTTCTCTTTATATATTATAAACAATACAAATTAATGATGTAAGCAAATTTATTTAATAAGTTAAAAATGGGCGTGCTTACGACCAAGGTAGTCTTTAAAAGGTGAGTAAAAGTTTCATTCTTCTCATGCATATATAGTAAGGGACATTATGTGTTACATACTTCAACTAGCAAATGCTCTTTAAGTAAATTTATATTAATCAACTTATATTTTCTCACTAAATTTTATTTAAGAAGCGATTTATTTTCTTGGAATGTTTTTATTCTCAACATAGAATGAAATCATATTTGGTAAACAAATAGTATGTATTCCAGTGTGCTCTGGAATGAAGACTATCCAACAGAAGTAAGAAAATATATTTTTTTCCTTTTGGCCTTAAAGATTGTTTTTTGCTCCCACACAAAAAATGAGAAACTTGTTTGTTTGTTTGTTTGTTTGTTTTTAAAATGAAAGGTTGCTACTTGAACCTTAATTCTGGTGCATTCACTTGGTGTTTCTTTTTTAAAAAATGTTTTTCTGAAACATTGTGCAGGAAAAAATATATGCTGTACTAAATCTTTCATATAATATAATGGAACGCAATAAATTGAAGGACTGTCAGAAATGAGCATGGAAGCCAGATGCCGTGGCTCGTGCCTGTAATCCTAGCACTTTGGGAGTGGCGGATGGATCACTTGAGGCCAGGAGTTCGAGACCAGCCTGGCCAACATGGTGAAACCCCATCTGTACTAAAAATACAAAAATTATCCAGGCATGGTGGCAGGTGCCTGTAATCCCAGCTACTCTGGAAGCTGAGGCAGAAGAATCACTTGAACCTGGGAGGTGGAAGTTACAGTGAGCCAAGATGGTGCCACTGCGTTCCAGCCTGGGTGACAGAGCAAAACCCTGTCTCCAAAAAAAAAAAAAAGAAGAAGAAGAAGAAGCAGAAGAAGAAATGAGCATGTAGTAGCAGCAAACATCCAGTAAATCTGACATTGGTCAATTTGAAAAGAGCACTAAGGGTCTGAGCAGAGGGTGTTGGGCTTTGCCTTTCCCTGTAGCTCCCATTTAAGAGAAATACACTCACGAGAAAAACTGCCTCTGTTGCTCCTAAGGCCAGCAGCAGCCAGGTAATGCATGTGAAAATAGTTTCAAGAAACAGTCACTTCTTTTTTTTTTTTTAATTGTACTTTAGGTTCTGGGGTACCTGTGCAAATTATGCAGAATTGTTGCATAGGTACATACATGGCAATATGGTTTG